AGTCATATTATATTAGCTCCAGAATCATAATTACCCCCAAACAAATATTTTAAAAAATATAGAAATATTCAAAAATGTTTTTCAGACCAAATTTTATGGCTTCGAAAGGACATAATACCATATCTCTTCGAATCCATTAAACTTTTGTCTGAAACATTTATTCAATCTTCCATACTTTTTAAAATATTTGCCTGGAACAATTAAAGTGAATCACCCGGTACATAGAGTGAAAAATTTATGTTTATTATAGAATAAAAATATCAATATTGCTTAAAATAATTTTTTAATAAATCACAATCACAACCCTTTTCCTATTCGAGTAATAGCTAATGGACATCAAAAGGTTTGGGCGTATATAACAAACTATAGTCTTTAGCAGCGAAATGTTTTAGCTATCAAGCATCACCGTAATTATATAGCTTTTAGGTAATATAAACTTTCAATTTCAGCTAATAAATTCCATATCACAGTAAATATTTTGTAACTATAATAGCCAAAACTTAGTCATGATACTAAGCGATAGCTCTTGTAGCTAGTTTTGATCAGATTTTGAAATTTAGCTTCTATTGCTAATCCTTTTTTTTTAAATTCTTTACTATCAAAATTTTAATAATTTTCTTACAGCAGCATGTCCGAAACAAATTAGCCAACATTTCGTTTAAACGTTTAGCGTGTTTAGAAAATCAAGAGACCTCCTAGTTCATTAGCGATCCATCTCGGCTTGGGAAACTATGTAATCTGAAATAAAATACATTAAAAATAAATATGAGATATTTACAATATAATAAATAATATAATTGTCTGAAAATATATTATACTAACTAAATAAATAGACGAAACAATATATAAATAAAATGTATAGAAACAGATTATAAATTAAACAAATATATAAAGAAAGTCAAATATGAAAAAAATAATATTGTGTAAAAACAAGACCTGCAAATTATAATCAATTTAAAAAGATCTATTAAAAATACCTTCAAAAAAACGATCAGTTAACGCACGCCATTAATTAAAATTATCCATTGCAAACCCATGTAGAATCCTATCCTATTGCAAACCCATGTAGAATCCTATGAAAAATTAATCATTGCAAACCCATGTAGAATCCTAGGCAAAATTAACCATTGCAAACCCATGTAGAATCGTACCCATTGCAAACCTATGTAGAATCCTATGAAAAATTAACCATTGCAAACTCATGTAGAATCCTATGAAAAATTAACCATTGCAAACCCATGTAGAATTGTATTAAAAATTATCCATTGCAAACTTATGTAGAATCCTACATTGCAAACCCATGTACAATAGAATTGTATGAAAAATTATCGATTATAAACCCATGTACAATCGTAACAAAAGTAATGAAATAAAAAAAAATTGCGCCAAGTGAAAGTAGAAACTTGTACCAGTGGAAAATTAAAGTTGCAGACATATATAGAGTCGTATAATGAATCAGTAAAAATTTAAATTTGCAAATGTAGAATCGTACCATAAAAAAACTTATCTTTTAAAAAAAAAGATAAACAAGATGCCAAGTCCATGCGCCATGTGAAAAAGAAATAAAAAAATTTTAGTTAAAAAAACTGGGCGCGCTGCTAAGTTTCAAAATTACAATGCACCTTAAAGTAACATTAATTAATTTAAACACAAACATATTTTAACTGTAATGAGTTTAAAAGTAACAATTTTAATTTAATATTGTTAGAATATTATTTAGCAGCGCTCCCAGTTTTTTTAACTAAAATTTTTTTATTTCTTTTTCACATGGCGCATGGACTTGGCATCTTGTTTATCTTTTTTTTTAAAAGATAAGTTTTTTTATGGTACGATTCTACATTTGCAAATTTAAATTTTTACTGATTCATTATACGACTCTATATATGTCTGCAACTTTAATTTTCCACTGGTACAAGTTTCTACTTTCACTTGGCGCAATTTTTTTTATTTCATTACTTTTGTTACGATTGTACATGGGTTTATAATCGATAATTTTTCATACAATTCTATTGTACATGGGTTTGCAATGTAGGATTCTACATAAGTTTGCAATGGATAATTTTTAATACAATTCTACATGGGTTTGCAATGGTTAATTTTTCATAGGATTCTACATGAGTTTGCAATGGTTAATTTTTCATAGGATTCTACATAGGTTTGCAATGGGTACGATTCTACATGGGTTTGCAATGGTTAATTTTGCCTAGGATTCTACATGGGTTTGCAATGATTAATTTTTCATAGGATTCTACATGGGTTTGCAATAGGATAGGATTCTACATGGGTTTGCAATGGATAATTTTTGTTAATGGCGTGCCCTTAACTGGTCGCCTTTTTTTACCTTTTTTTAAAGGTGAGTTTTTAGAGATTATATCATTCATTTTTGTATATTTTTATGACCGGAATAGAACAATTATTAAACATGTTTATCTAAACTTCTTTGCTTAAAATGATGTGTACAATCATATCCTAGAATCCTGATCATTCCTCCTAAAGCACCCTATTTATATAAATTTACCCATATGTGTGTGTGTGTGTGTGTGTGTGTACTAATGTCGAGCATTTTTTATACATTTTCTATTAAATTTAGATAAAAGTTGCAGGATTTCGAAAAAGAAAAAGTTGACACAGACTTTTTCCTAAACGGCGATTTTCAAGGTTATTTAAAGGTCACTTATATTTTCAAAATAGAATTACCTTAATTTTTCTCATATAAATCGATTCCTCGCAATATTTACTATAAAAAGTTGTAAAGGTATAATTTTTACATAATCTTACATAAACTTCGAAATATTACAAATATTTTATTTTATGAAATATTTCAGTTTATGTAAAATTATGTTAACTATCTTTTAAATTATTCACTTTTAGCCATCTTACCCTTACAACCTTTTATAGTGAATATTGCAACAAATTGGTTTATATATATAATATATATATAACATCAGTTATTATTAATTGATGTTTACATTTATTTTTAGACTTACTAGAGCTCAAATGCTCCACATTTTTTGCAAAAACTGTTTATTCTACAGATTTCAAATATGCTTTTAAATGATGATTGAATATTTCCTTTTTTTAATTATTTTTATTATTATTTTTCAATCTCAATCAACTTTTATAACTTTATGCCAGCACGATACAAATACATGTGTCTTTATTTTTTTTATTATTTTCATTATTATTTTTCAATCTCAATCAACTTCTATAACCTTATGCCAGCAGGATACAAATACATGTATGTCTTTATTATTGTATCAACTCTTGTCTTTTCCATGTAACCATGTCTTCATAGTTTGAATTATCCCTTCATCTTCTCAATCTTTCGCAGAGATTTAATTAATTAAATACACTTCACACGAAATAAAGTTTGCTGGAAGATATACAGCAAACGATAACTGTAAAAACATGATTACGTGGAAAGAACAAGAGTTGGTACAGTAAAGGCAAGTAAGTAAGTACATGTAATGTATCGTATTGGCATAACGCTATATCCGCGGAGCAGATAATGTGGCTGTAGAGGTAGTCTGCAGTGCAGCTAATGTGGACGTAGATGTTGATTGAGATAATTGTCTAATATAAAATAGAATTTAAAAATTTAGTTTAAAAAGCTGTTGCATATATAAATAAAGTTTATTTTTTCTAAATTTGGAATATGTTTAATTAATTAATTTTTTAAGTCTATGTTTAATAAATTTTTTAAGTCTGTATTCAATAATTTTATTCATTTGATAAATACATGTATGTCTTTATTTTGATATGTTTAATATAATTAGAAATTCATTATTAATTAGATATGTAAACTATAAATTCATATATAATATTTGAAAATATATGTGAATATTTAAATTTTTATCTTCTCCTTCCTCTCCTTCAATCTCTTTAATATCAATATGTGTATGTGTGTACACGCGCGCACATTTGTACGTATTTATTTAATTATTGGATAGTTGAGAGTACTTAATTGATAAAAAATTATGACAATAATAATCCTTGTTTTTTTTTCTTATTATTTACTCAGATTTTTTTGTCTATCTTATAAGATAAACACTTTAGAGATTGAATATTTCAAGTAAACTAATTGTAAGTAAATTTCACATTAATGCATATAGATGTTTAATCATGAATGTACTAAATAAGTACACAAGACGAACAGTGAGTGAGTGAGTGAGAATGAGAGAGTGTGTGTGTGTGTGGTGTGTGTGAGAGAGAGAGAGAGAGAGAGAGAGAGAGAGAGAGAGAGAGAGAGAGAGAGAGAGAGACGAGATGTACTAAATAAGTACACAAGACGAACAGTGAGTGAGCGAGAGAGAGAGAGAGAGAGAGAGAGAGAGAGAGAGATTAGCCAACATAACCCCGCACGCTGCCGATATGGCGGAGCGCCACTATCGCCATCTGTTGTAAAACGTGCGAGATGGACAAAATTACCACTACATGCATCTTGCATGTGTTGTGTACGTGTGATATATGTGTGCGCATGTGTTGTATACGTGTGAATACGTGTAGCACGATACTACTATGTATGCGTGGTCGATGATGATAATGATGATGATATGATGATAATGATGACGGGGACGTTTCTTAATAGAAATTTTTCATATTTCGACTTTGCATTTATATATCTCTGCTTACAAATCACGTAGAGCAGAAATAAAGACACTTTTATTATATAATTCGAACTCAATCTATCGATTAAGTCTAGTATAAACTCGATTGCTTCAGCCATTATTGAGGATTCGAAATATTATAAAGACTCAAATGTCCGACTCGCGTTAAGATACACGGTGTCTCCGCTACGCCCTTAACTGGTCGCGAGACACTACCGTGTCTCTTGAAAGACCTCTATTCAAACTATGCGATTCATTATGATTTAACCGCAATACACAATTAAAATCATCATAGCCTTTAGAGATTAGATGTCCATCCTCACATCGGTGCCATGCAAGTATAACGCCGGTGCATTTATTCCCATATAATGCACGATGTTCTATGATCATTCCTACTGATATCATATTCTGCGTCTTTTAGTCCTGTATTTCTGCATATTGATTTAGCAAAATGCAGTTTAAACTGTAAAATATAAAATCAAGTTTTTATTGATTTGTTCTTGTTTTCCTTTCCAACATGACTCTAATAACAAGATATTTTACAGCTGTTTAAATTATAATTTGTATATAATTGGACATCGTAAGTATAATCGAAAAAAAGCTTCATAAAGATTATTTTTTATTATTATGTTACTTTATATAGAATATATATGGCATATATGTATTAAAATATCTTACGTCTTACCATGCGAATTTCATAAGCATTTGACTCCAACTTGAATATTGCATTAGCCAAACCAACATTTCTTTGAAATTTATTTTTAAGTAGTTCCATACCTGATAAAAAGAATAAACATGAACAAAAACTAATTTGACTATACATATATATATATATATATATATATATATATATAAAGCGTATTTTATAAACTTATGTCGAATTACCAGTATATTCATTAGTGTTAAAATTAATAGAAATTAAATATTAGTAATTGACCAACCTTATTAACATACATCTTATAGAATTCATGAAAGTCTGACAATAATGGTGTGGGCCATGATAAATCATCCTGCCGTTCAACTAGCAAATATCGCACATTTTCTAATCCGTCATTAGTACTGTAAACAATATAAAATTATAATATAGTATACGTGTATGTATATAAGAGTAAGAATTCCGAATAATTCAAATAATTTTACGTATAATATTATACATACTATTTTGGTTTCCAAAATATATAATAAGGGCAATTATCTATTACATTGCAACGTAAACCAAGTCTTCTGGCCACGCTATGATATATTATTAATACGATTAAGCCATCGCCCGATTTTTTCTTAAGACCTATACCAGAAATTACAACAAAAAAATTATTTACAGCAAAAGTATTTTGAATATATATAATGCGTCTATAACTCTCTTATTCGGGAATAGTCAAAATAAGATATCGAATAGTTTCTCTGAAAAACAAAGTTTGTAAATTTTTTTATTAATTCAAACTCAAAAGACTATTTACAACCCTCACCTGAAAAACAAAGAAACAACATTCAATGTTTCTTATTCACTGATTCTATTATAATAACACTTTGTCAAATTAAATTTTATTCACCGTATTTTCTCTCCACGTGGGTTTCTCTTTTCTAACCTCTATTAATTTTTCTTTGCACATCTAGATGCCCGTATTACCGACCGTTTTACCGGGAGATTTTAAATTAATCCGAGGAAATGTAATGGAATTTCCTTACATCTCCCCCCCTAAGAGAGAAAATATGTTTACAATTTTTTTTTTTTTTTTTTTTTTTTTTTTATGACGTGTACATGTCTTCTTCTGTGTAAGCGGACTCTGAGACTGGAAACAGTTTAGTGATATGAAATAAATTTGACTCTGTTTTCTTATGACCTGTGTCTACTTTATATATTGAGTGTGATATTTTTTGTAAGATTTTGTATGGTCCTATTTTTAACTCGTCTAATTTCTTTCTGTTTAAGCGGTTCCCGTTCTCGACATATACTGATTCTCCTACATTAAATTTGTAATCTCTTCGGTTTTTGTCAATTATCTTTTTATTATAAACGTGATATTTTATACTATTTTCTAAAGCAGTTTTCCTGTCTAGTTTTAGATCTTCGTTTGATCTTTCTTGTTTTAATTCGATTGGTAACATTGAGGTATCCGTGCCTTCTAATAGATATTTTGGGGTGAATTTAGTGACTGTGTGTTCTATTTCATTGTATTTTCTTACACATTCGTGTGCTATAGTTGTCCATGCTGCTTTCTTGTTCTTTTTCTCGTTTACTTTGCATCTAATTTTATTAACCAACGTTTGGTTCAATCTTTCATTCAGGCCATTGGAGAAAGGTGCGTTTACTGCCGTAAATATAATTGGGATATTTTTGTCGTCCAAAAATTTCTTAAAAACCTTGGAGTTTATTCCCGGATATTGATCCGTTAAGATCATACCGATGTCGTTGTTTTCCGTTACTTTTTTTATTAATTTTATAAAATCCGTGGAATTTTGGGTTTTGGATGTTAAAATATATCCAAATCTCGTGAAATGGTCTACCAAGAGATGTAAGTATTTTTTTGTGGATCGTGAGCCCCCGAAGCCGCCGATTGTGTCGATGGAAACTATTTCAAACGGTTCTTTTGCGGGACCTAATTGAGACATTAGGCCAAATTTCTTCTGTCCTCTTGATTTATTTTTTATGCAGATCTCACAGGCTCTACAAATTTCTTTTATATTCTTTGTTAAATTTTGTGCTGTGTAATAATTTCTGATTTTGTTTTGTGTTTGTTTTATACCTATATGGCAGAAATTCTGATGTGTTCTTCTTATTACTTCTTTACTGAATTTTTCTGATAGTATAATTTTTTCTTTTTCTTTGATCTTCTTATAGTATATTTTATTTTTCAGTTTTAGTCTATTTTTGTCAGTCTGTAAATCTTTGTTTTGTTTTTGATCTTTCAGAATTTCTTCTAGGTTTATTAAATTCACGATTTTTAAGTCTTCCTCTTGATTCTCATGTGCCTCCAGCACAGGGTTTCTACTTAAACAGTCTGCCTCCAAGTTATTCTTACCCGGGTGGTATATTATTTCCATATCATATTGTGCTAAGTAATACGTTAGATCGCCTAATTCTTCGTCTGGTCTTGCTTTGATGTTAAGTTTTTCTAGTGGTTTATGATCTGAAAAGACTTTGAATGATCTGCCCATGAGCCAGTGTTGCCAGTATTTTACTGCTTCTTTTATTCCTAGGCATTCTAGGTATATAGCCTTCTTTTTTTTTGGGCTTCGTTTAGCTTCTTCGAGAAATACGCCACCGGTTTTTCTATTTCTTTTCCTATTTCTTCATCCAGTTGTGGTTGTTTTAGTATAGCTCCTACACCTTTCAAGCATGCATCCGTGTAAATATGTATTGGTAGATCTGGATCGAAGATAGTTAAAACCGGTTGAGTGCAAAGAATGTTTTTTATTTTTTTAAAGGCTTCTTGGCAATCTTCCGACCAGACGAATCTTTGTCCTTTTCTTAATAGTTTGTGCAGTGGGTCCAGTATTATGGAATTATGTGGCACGTATTCATTGTAAAAGTTAATTTTTCCTAAGAACTGGCGAATGTGTTTTTGTGATTGTGGCACAGGAAAATTTTGTATTGATATTAGATTATCTTTTATTGGGGAGACTGAGTTATTTTTTATCTTGTGACCTAAGTACTTGACTGAATTTGATGCGAAAGTGCATTTAGAAAATTTCAATCTAAAGCCCTCCTTCATTATTGCGTCTAGCAATTGTGTTAAATGGTCAATATGTTCATCGAATGATTTTGAGAAAATCAAGATATCGTCTATGTAGTTTACTGTAAAGTTTGAGAGATTGTGTTTTCTCATTATGTTGTTCAGGATTCTTTGAAAAATAGCTGGCGACGTCTTTAGGCCAAATGGCAAGCAGGTCCACTGAAAGTGTCCTTCTTGGGTTATAAATCCTGTTTTTCTTCTATCTTCCACCCGTAGTGGGATTGACCAGAATGCCGAGTTTATGTCGAGTTTGGAAAAATATTTGCAGTTTCTTGTTTTTGTCACTAGGTCCTCAATCAATGGGAATGGTTGTGATTGAGGGATAATTATTTTGTTCAGATCTCTAAAGTCGATGCATAATCTTGATCTTCTATCTTCGTCCTTTTTATATGCTAGCGTCACTGGGGCAGCAAAAGGACTGTATGATTCTTCTATCAAGTTTCTTTTTAACAGCTCCGCAATTTGTTGTTCTATTTCTTTTTTATCTTTGATTGTACATCTATATGGTCTCTTGCTGCAATACTTATCTATCATTAAATCTATTCTTGCTTCATAATCTTTTACTGTGCCAATGTCGTATTTGTCCTTGGCAAATAATGTTTTGTATTTTTCTATAAGATTTTCTATTTTTAATTTTTCGTAGTGATCTAGGTGGTTTATTGAGATTTGTAAATTATCTGTATCTACATGTTCATTAAAGTTTATTTGTTGTAGCTTGTCATCTTGAAATTTACAAGCTTCTTTATGGTTTCTATCCTCTTTCTTTGGATTTTTGTTTGTGGTATTAAGAGCATTTGTATTTCTTTTGTCTGTTATGTCAGGAATTTTTTGTTCTATTTTTAAATTCTCATTCTGTATTAATCCAAATTTTTTTATACAATCCAGTCCGATTAGAAATTCATAATTGAAATTTTTGTTATTTATTACAAAAACGTCTATTTCTTTTTCTATATTAAGAATTTTTGCTTTTATTGTTATCATGCCTTCGGTTTGGTTCACACCATTAATCGTTCTTAAGTTTACTTTTCTTATATTGTTATTTTTATCTTTTCTTAGATTCAGTATTCTAGAGTTTATTAATGAAACATTCGAGCCTGAATCATATATCCCAGTTGCTTCCAATGTCTCATTTAGTAATATCTTGAGTTCGATCAATGGTGGAATTATTAGTTTTTTTGCTCATTGCAATTTAGTTCCATTTCTAGGACGGCGTTATTGACATTTTTTATTTTGTTTTCTTTATCTTTGAACCAACATGCTGATTCCGGGTGATAACGTGTGCCTTTGTTATTGTCTTTACAAATTTTACATGGTGTTTTTTCTTTTATGTTATCAGTCTTGTTCTTCTTGATTTCAAATCTGTTTTTATTAACCAGGTGTTCCAGTTTGCCTAGTTCGTTGTAAAGGTCTTCAGTTTCGTTCAGAGTTTCTCTGTCAATCCTATCAGATATAAAGTTTGGTAGACCGGCTGCGATGAGATCTATCAAAGTTCCTGTGTCTATTGATTTTCTTACTTCTAATAATAATTTTTCTTTTTTTATGGCATAATCCAACAGAGGACCTGATTGGAATTTGAATGAGAGTGCATATCTTATTGGGATCCACCCTTTGTTTGCAAATGTTTCACAAAAGTTTTTTTTCCATTCTTTCCATTCTGATTGTACTGTAAATTTTATCAGCATGCAGCTGTACCAATCTACACACGCTTTTTCTAGAAAAATTTTAAAGTTTCGATCTTCTTTCTATCTTCATTTATCTCAAAACGTTCGCACTCTCTTTCAAATTCATTTATCCATTGGTGGGCATTGGAGGTTTTTCCAGTGAATTTTTCAAGCATAAAATCCTGTGCTATTTTTCCTAGATTTTTTATTTCGGATTTTTGTTGTTTCTCTTCCATTAATTTCTCCAATATTTTTCTCATTATTTCCTCTGAAGAACTAGGTTCAGATGCCGTAGTAGTTTTTTTCTCTGTGATTTCTTCTAAATAATAATCGCCAAATTGTAAGTTTTCTTCTTCATCCAAATACACTTTAGTTAAGGTTTCTGATAAACCAATCCATACTTTTCTTGATTGGTGTCTTTTTTTAAATGAATTCTTCACTTTAGCAAATATTTGTGTTTTTGTCAGCTCTGTGTGTAAATGTGCTGGCTGATATTCCTCTGGGAAGCCGAAAGAACGATCATCGGGTGTTCCTATTGAGGTTAAGCACAATATGTTCGATTTTCCGTCTGTTGATCCTCTTACCATAAAGTCGAATCTTAACTTCTCCATTTTGTATAAATTTTCAACAAGAATGTTGTTTTATAATGCGTCTATAACTCTCTTATTCGGGAATAGTCAAAATAAGATATCGAATAGTTTCTCTGAAAAACAAAGTTTGTAAATTTTTTATTAATTCAAACTCAAAAGACTATTTACAACCCTCACCTGAAAAACAAAGAAACAACATTCAATGTTTCTTATTCACTGATTCTATTATAATAACACTTTGTCAAATTAAATTTTATTCACCGTATTTTCTCTCCACGTGGGTTTCTCTTTTCTAACCTCTATTAATTTTTCTTTGCACATCTAGATGCCCGTATTACCGACCGTTTTACCGGGAGATTTTAAATTAATCCGAGGAAATGTAATGGAATTTCCTTACATATATATTAACAGTTATGATACAACACATATGATCATGTTCATAATATAAAGAGATCGTAATTATAATATATTATTATCTATAATAACTTCTTAAATTCATAGCATCTTTTTAAACTTAAAAATATAAAAGATGTTACGTCGGAATTATACACTGTAATAAACTATATAGTATATAAAGAAGACTTTCTCGAACTATTAATTATCTGATGAATAGGAAACTTTGTAATTTATATTCTATTCTATTATATATATTTATATAAGAGTTTTAACAAGGCTCTGTAATATAAATATAAATTTAACGTATAAGACGGGCAACAAGAGCCAAA